GTGAGAAGAGTTATTATTTATTAAAAAAAAAAACAGGGAGGTGTAAAAAGTGACCAATTATTATCTTGGAAATAAAGTATATCCTTTTTGAAATCTATAACTCAACAGAGAGTCAAAATAATAGATCATCTATGCTGTTCCTTTTGAAAATAAAATAATAGACCAGACATAAATGAAATAATATAGTTAACAGGACTATAGAATTGAGGAAAACTTCCCAAACACAGCACAAACAGAGGACTGAAAAAGAAATGAGTTAAGAGACACGGAGAATTGATCAATTTTATATATATATATATATATGTGCATATATGTGTGTGTGTGTGTGTGTGTGTGTGTGTGTTACAGTCATATGTTGCATAAGAAGGTTTAGGTCAACAATGGACCACAAATACACAATGCTGGTCTCATAAGATTATATTCTAAGTTTTCACTGTACCTTTTCTATGCTTAGATATGTTTAGACACACGAATACTTACCATTGTGTTACAATTGCTTACAATATTTAGGGTAGCATTCATACAGCAAAGTATGCTGCAGAGCTTTGTAGCCTAGGATAGGCTATAGCACATAGCTTAAATATGTAACAGACTATACCAACTAGGTTTGTGTAAGTACACTCTATGATGCTGACAAAACAATTAAATCACCTAATAACGCATTTCTCAGAACGTGTCCCATCATGAAGTGTTGTATGACTATACATATGCACGTATATTCAAAAGGAGAGAATAGAAATAATGATGGAAGGAAAATATCCAACAGATAGTGGCTGAGATTTTTCCAGAATTAAAGAAAATCTGCAATCCTCTAACAAAGTCCACAGAGTGCAAAGCACAATAAGAAAAACCATATATATTGTAAAATCCTGAACTTGCAACTAAAGAGATAAAAGGAAATATACCAAAGTGTCAGTAGTGTTTACCCATGGTGATAGGATTTGGAGTGAGATTTTTATCTTCTTTAAACTTTAATGTACTTCCTAAGTGCTCTACAATGAAAAGACATTATATGTCTGTGGAGGAGAGAAGCATTTGTTATGTCAAATACACATAAATAGATAAATAGTTAAAAAAAAAATCTGCCCTCAAAGAACTTACACTCTAGCAGAAGAGGCTTGCACAAAATTAACATATAAAACAAAACCCAAGTGATAACTAGCATGCATAGATATAGTTAAAATCTGAGCCTTGTCTTTTCCCACACAGAGCAATTAGAAATAAGGGCAGAAGTGGTGGGGTGATACAGTAGTTCAGGACACTGAGCAGAAGTATAAAGGTCTAGCCCATATTCTGGGCTTACTAGGGTCTATTACTGCAGCTGAAGTGTATTTTACTTGGACAGCATCAAAATGGGCAAACCAAGATAAAATTAGAACTTTATCTACATCAAGCATTATTTTCACCTCTAATTTATTTATTTATTTTTATTTTTAAAATTTTCTTTTTTGAGACAGTCTCACTTTGTTGCCCAGGTTTGGCTGCAGTGGTCTGATCTTGGCTCACTGCAACCTCCAACTCCCAGGTTCAAGCAATTCTCCCTGCCTCAGCCTCCTGAGTAGCTGAGATCACAGGTGCCCATCATCATGTCTGGCTAATTTTTGTATATTTGTAGAGATGGGGTTTCACCCTGTTGGCCAGGCTGGTCTTGAACTCCTGACCTCAGGTAATCCGCCCGCCTCGGCCTCCCAAAGTGCTGGGATTACAGGCATGAACCACCTCACCCGACCTTATTTTCACCTCTAATTTAATTATATTGCAAGACCACCGATTGATGACTGCAAAAAAAACACCTGCATTGTCAATTAAATTAACACCATAAAAATCTGCCACATTTGCATGACATTTCAATTGTTATAAGGCTTTGTTGCTTTCTTCAAGGGTCATGTAGGTTGAGAGAAGGGTGAAAAAATTGTGTGTATATGTGTTTTCATTTTAATTGATAATCAAATTACCATTCTTATCAGCAGGGGCACTATCATTATGCCAATTTAGAAGGAAATACAACACAGGTGTGTTCTGGGTGGCTTTACCAAATCAACATCATTTTATCAGGAGGCAGAGCCCTCATCAATCTAGGAAGGTTGAGGCTGCAGTCATAATACCATTGGCACACCCAGGCAAGGCAGAGTTTTAAGCAGTGCACACTGACTGTTTCTTTGGAGCCAAATAAACTCAAGGTAAAGCTCTAAATGAAACAGGTGGCAGAAGCACAAGCCATCTAGATATGTTACTAATGGAAGGGGCTGTTCACATCTCAGATAATCTCTTTCCTAAACACATCCGAGTTTCTCAAAATACGACCTTTTAAACTAACTCCTCTCGATACCAGTCAATTCCTTTCAATATCACCATTCCACATGGGAACCAGACACATGCCCCAATGTTACCTCCACTGAACTATTTGATTTCCTGCCACCTTGCCTTATCTCCCTATACTTTCACCAGAATCACAAACCAGGGGCCGTCTCTCCAAAACCAACTCCGAAAGTCCTAACAACAATTGGGAGTATCGAATCCCCTCCCCCATTTTTGAAACAATGGACCCTTTCCTTTTTCTTCTCTCCAACCCCTCTGAAATCTCTATTCTTGATTTCTCTGGAAACATCTTTTCTCATCTTCCTCTTGCCCTTTCCTGAATCCTTTTCTCTTCCTACTCTTAAGTGAGGTCACATTTTAGTCAATATCCCATAAGGCGGTTTCATTCCAAAGAGAAGAATGTTTCCACCTGTACTCCCTGGACTTCTCAAAACTTTGTTTCTAATGCCCCAGTCAAGGAAGGAACAGTGCTGATCTAGTTAGTCAGAGCCTGCCATTCACTGGGTCAAGATTCACTAGCAGGCGGGGATACTGCCAATCAAGGGGGTTCCCATCCATGACCCTACACTCTTCCTGCTTCTCTCTGCCTACAGTTGGATGAATGAGTCACATGAGAGCCTGAGCCACACACCTAACAGCTGAGACTTAGAAGAAAGAGCCGAAGCCTGCCCAGAACCTCCCAGTCTCATACCACCTTTTCCAATTCAGCTTTTCCCAGATTTCTCCATTGGGTTGTGCCAAACACTCATGGATCCAGAAATTTCACTTTCAGTATGGTTACTGTTTCTTGTCTATCGCTCCTTGGAAGAAGAGATCTGTGGCAATATTCAAATCCCCAAATCACACTCCAAAGCCTGGCTGGAAACTGGCTGTTCTCCCTCAATGACTTCATTAGAAGACTGGCCCCTCCTGTAGAAAAGCCCTCTAGGCTGTGATTTATCACAGCTCTCCATGTTCAGCCCCTCCCACAAAATGAAACTGATTCCTTTTCCCTCCTGAAGATGTATGACATCATTAAAGTATAGGCTTGATTTAGTGGAAGATCACAGCTTGGGACCAGAAACTCAGCTACCTAGCTCCATCACCTACTGTGTGGTCTTGGCAAAGTCCCTTAACTCCCCTATGCCTCAGTCACTTCATCTGAAAGTTACAGGATGGTCCAGGAAACCCTAACGTCGTCTCCACTTCTGAAATTGTCAATGGTGGCGGAGCATGGCTAGTGCCTACACTCTTCTTCCCAGAAAGGAGCCCCCCAGAACTGAGAAGTGGCTGGGAAAATGCTCAGCCACACACAGAAATTCTGCTAGGCTGCAAACCACTTAAAATGAATGTTTAATAAGATACTGCATCAATTGTGTGCTTCAGCTGAATGTGCCGCAGCCCAGGAGACCTGAAAGAATTAATACAGTTCCCAAAGGAGCTGCTGGGAATTGCTGAAACAGAGGCAAAAGCTGATGTGATGAATATAAACGCGCTTTGAGAGCATCAAAAGGAAAGTGCTACAATGAATGTCCGTTCACTCCACTAGAATATCTCCTGCCATCTAAGGAACACTCTCCAAGAAGATCTCAGGGTTAGAGACCATGGCATTCAGGTACATTTACCCTTTCCTCTCCTTCTGAACTTCCAGCCCTTTCTCAGGGCTTAGAAAGAGGACAGTACACACAACTCCAATCCTTCCTTTTCTTCTCATTCTTCCCTTTACTCCTCCATTCTAGCCTTCCTTCTTCCCTCCAGTTCTGTGTAATTCCCAAACCAGGTCATCATAACATCTCACTCAAATCTTCAATTATCTCTCCCTTGTTCGCCAAACTGATGCTCCCAGACTGTCCACAAAAAGACTCTCCCTCTCATTCTCAGCCAACAGATTTTTTGAGACTCTTTGTTGCGTTCTGAGACTCTCCAACTTTAGTACCAAGACCCGTCTTCGTTCAGGAGCCAGCTCCTCCATCTGAGAGCCTTCAGACAGAGAACATGTAAGGAAAATGCCAGGCCTCCATGCTCTGGGTTTGTAGTTAATTCTCTCCACTCACACCCACTCCCCTAGAGGAACAGTCTCTCCTCCACTCCTCTAGCCTAGGGCTTCTCAAACTCCCACCTCTGTTCCTCTCATTGCAGAGTCTGAGGAAGCATGACATTTTTTCTGCCCTTTTGTGCTTTACCTAAAAACTTTGCATTTTCTTCCAGAACCTACCCACATTTAATAATTTTTATAAATAGTTTTAGTCACTTACCATAAGAGTAAGAGGGAAAAAATGGACATTTTTCCCACAAAACAATCAGGTAAAACAGGTACTGTGGGAATAGGAACCATACGTCTCCAGTGCTCTTGAGCCCACCTCGGTGCCCCGCGGCACTTGTAAATCTCCAAACATGCCACCACCGCCGCCACCACCCCACTGCCTACTTCTGTTTTCTGAGCTCTTCCTGACACACCCACACTGAAGTGCTCCTGTGTACACCATGTTCAGAAACAAGGCAAAAGGCATATCCATTTCTGGGTTGAAGAAGCAAGACCTGGTTCTCACCAGGGCCAGTCGCCACGACCCTCCCACCCCCACACCCACCCGCACCCGCACTTCACATCAAGACAGATTCTAGGGACGTCCGAAAACCTGAAGCAGCTGCCAGGCAGCTGGTCGCTTCCCAGGTCCTGGCAGGGCATCACCTCCCGGCCTTACCTTGTCAGCCATGATCATAGATGCGCCCCCATGAATGCCCAAGATGGGGACGAAAGTCTGGGAGGAGATAAAATCCAGCATCTGAGCCACGGCCTCCTGGTCCGTGTCGTCCCCAAACACGAGGCCGTGGATGCGCGCCCCGGACATGAGGTCACACACGTGCGTGATGAGGCTCTTGGGGTCGGTGCGGTTCATCAGCAGAGCTACCACGTTCACGTCCAGGGGCAGCCCCGCAGCCTGCTCGGGGCCCCACAGGGTTCGAAGTTCTCGCTCCGTCACGTCGTGGCTGTGACCCAGCATCACCGCAATATTCAGCGCGGGGGAACCCTTCTCCGCCGCCGAGCTCGGCGCCGGACCGCGCCAGACCAGAAGGGCCGGCAGCACCAGCAGGGTCCAATAGCCCACTCTGCCCATAGTCGCCACTGACGGTCCCTGCAGGGTGAAGAGTGAGAGGCAGGGCCGCGGTGAGCAAGGCGACCAGAAGAAAGGGATTACCGACTGGGGCCCGGCTCTAGGAGCCAGGCGTGGAACTCAGCAGCAGGATAGGCTGCTGGGATCACAGACTCCACTCCCAATCCCCGACGCCATCCATATGCCTGGACGCATCTCTAACGCGATGTCCAAGTCCATTCCGAGCTTCTCGCGTCCAGCTTCCTCATCCCCCGTCTCCAGGAGCTTCCCCATCCCCAACTCTGTCCACATCCCGCACCGCGTCCCCCAGTTCGCTGCGGACCACAGACCCCAAGCGTCGCGCGCGTTCTGGAACCCACCAAGCTACCAGGTGCACAGAATAAACCCTCATCCAACCCCTCCCACCTGGGATAGTGAGGCCCAAGTTACCAACCCCGCCCCCTGCTCTGGAGGAGCGAACTACGGACTGGGCGGGACGTGCGGAGGCGGCGCCCAGACCCGGCGTCCGGGCGTGAAAGCTGAGCTCGTTGGCTGACCCCGCCCCCTGCCAGCTCGTCCGGTGCACCCCACGCTTTGCTCTACGCTTCGCCCTAAATGCAGACCCGGCTGCTCGGATGCATATACACCACGAGGGCTTGGGAGCCAGGACGCTGCCTGGTGCGCCCAGACTCCGCGGTGCCTGAGGTAACGTGGGGCTGAAGTAACTTGGGCCTGAGGTAACCGGGGGGCTGAGGTAACCGGGGGGCTGAGGTAACACGGACCTGAGGTAACCGGGGGCCTGAGGTAACCGGGGGCCTGAGGTAACACGGACCTGAGGTAACCGGGGCGTGAGGTAACACGGCCACGCGCCGAGGGCCGTGGAGAGTCCTCAGTCAACTGAAAGTGGGCCCGGGACGCACCCACTACACGCGCGCGTGCACACACACGTGCGCACACACCCTCTCTCATGCGCGCCGTGTGCAGTGCAGAATTCTGGAGAGTAGGCGCGTCCCCCCGCAGGCCAGCGCGTGGGAGCTGGCAAGGAACGTGCGTAGGGGAAAGGTGGGCTCCGAAGAAGCTCCCAGACGGACGTGGACTGTGCGGCCCCTCCCCAGCCTCTCCCTGCGGGCGCGGTTGCCAAGTCTGAGGTGCACGTGGGCAGTGGGCCGCACCCGCTCATAGACACGCGCGCTTTCTGCTCACATCCTCAGGCCGCTGTCGCGGTGCCCACGGCCAGCCGGAGTCCTCACACGTCCTCGGGTGCTGCACACGCATGAGCCGCGGCAGGCGCACAGCCCCGCGTGCCTGCGAACAGCAGCGCGGTCGTGCTCGCGTGCCCTGACGCGCGCCTCCCGGGCCGGGCGCTGCTGGAGCCGGGGGAAGTTGAGGCGAACTCCAAATAGCCTCGACTTCCTGGGTGAGCGCCGCGGAGCGCGGAGCTGCAGCGCCCCCTGGTGCCCCTGCTGCGCCTCGCCGCTGGGCTCCCTCCCGCTTTCCCTCCCGGTCTTCGCCGGATCCGTCTCCCGCTCTCCCTCCGGTCGAGTCTCCCTCCTCCCGGCCCACGGAGCCCTGATCTGCCGCTGGGACGTACCTGTAGCCAGAGAAGGTCGAGGATGCACTGGGGCGCGCTGCGCACACGAGCATCTCGGCCGCCTCAGCAGCCACCGGGTTTAGCGGGTTCCCGCATGCTGCGGCCCCCGCGCTCTCCCCTGGCTGTCCCGCGCTGTCCGCATCGCCCCCACGGGGGGCGGCTATCCCAGCCGGAGGCTCTGCAGCAGGGCTCTACGGGGCGGAGGAGAGAAGGAGAGGCAGTGTCAGCCCGCCGGCGAGGGGCGGGAGGGTCGAGGGAAGGCTGCAGTCTGCAGTGCTCACAAGCCCCTCATGCGCCCAGCGGGGCTAGACCGGAGCGAGCGGCTGAAGCTCCGTGCCCACGACGCCCCCAGTGCGGATCCTCAGCCCCTGTGGCGGATAGCGGGAGCTCCACTCCGGGGCGCACTGGAGAATGGGAGCCCCGGGTTGGCCACCCACGAGAAGCTAACTGGGCACCGCTACCCGCACCCCCTACCACCTCCCCGGCGCCGGCTGCTGCGAGTTGTGCGACCGGGAGCTGCCGAGCGAGGGGGGTAGGGAGAGAAAAAGGAGGTAACGGCGGGGGGGCTGCTGGCTGAGTTTGCGACGAGCCGGCAGGAGGAGAGGGGGAGGGAAGGACACGGGCTCCCGCGGTCCCGTTCCCCGAGGGAGGTGGATCGTTCCCACGCAGCGAGCATCTTGCGATCCTGCCGCTCCCTCCCTCTCCAGGCCTCCCACCTCCCCCTCCCCAAGGGGGCCTCCTATGCCGGGCGTCCCGCGCCAGCACTCACCGCAGCCTCTCTCCACATAGTTCTCAGCAGTGGCCGCTCCTGGTCATCTCCAGGGCTGATGGCTGCGGCCGCGATTCTCAGCGCTCACCAGGTCCCATGATCCGGCCAAGCCCTAGGAGCCCCCCTCCAAGAGCCCGAGCTCTGCTCGCTGCCCCACTCCGGACGGCAACCGCCGGGTCCTCTGAGCGCGCCGGAGCACCCTTTCCGCAGCCCAGCTCCGGGCTGGTGTGTTTGAAGGCCAGTGTGTGTGAGTGAGTGTGGGAGCGGGCGCTCGCGTGTGGCCGGGGATCCCCACGGTCCCCGGCCGAGAGAGGTGCGGGCGGGCAAAGCCAGCTCCCTCCGGGCGGTTTGCTGCGGGAGCCGAGCCGGGCGTTCGGTTCCCCACTTCCCGGCGGGAGTCCGGAGAGCGCCTGGACACCCTGGTTCTCAGCACTGGCAAAGCCGGGTTCCCGGGGCGTGTTTCTGCTGCTGTCGCCTCCGAGGAAGAGGAGGAGGAAGGCAGGGGCGCCCTCAGCACCAACTTAGGGACTTATTTTCCGCCGGCGAGACGCAGTAGCCCCCGCGCAAGCCGAAGAGGCTTGGAGCTCTGGCGGGCGAAAGCGTCTCCTGCCCGCAGCCTCTCTCCTAGGTGGGTCGAGACAGACCCCGCAGTCCCTCGGCGGCGGCGCAGAGCGCGGCCACCCGTTCGGAGAGCGCACGGCGGCAAAAAAGGCCAGGATAGGTGGCTGGCTGGCGACGGGGGCGCCTGCAGCGGCGCGCGCTTCTGTCCGTGGTGCTGGAACCACGCTCTCCGCCCGCTCCCGGGCGTCTGGTGCGGCTGAAGAATCAATTATTCAGATCTCTGCTACTGCTTCCTCCTCCCCCAGTGCCTCACGCTGGGTACAGCTATCCCCCTCCACGCACAGGCGCGCCGACACACACACACGCGCGCACACAGACACACACACACGCACACGCACAGAGTCTGCTCCAATGCTTCTCCCTGTGCCTTGCCACCTCAGTGCGGGAACCCACTCCTCTGATCTCAGGGAGCCAGAATCCTAAAAGCAAAGACATCTACTTTTTCCACTTGCTTCCTTCTAAGTTGTACCAAACATAATTCTGTCTGAGGCTGCCACTTCTAAGCTACCAGAAGAGGTGAGCCAGATAACATGGGACGGCCTGGGCGTATGAGGGCTTGGTTGACTTGAATTCTAGCGACTGAGCATGGAACTCATCATCACGTGAGGAGCTCTGCCCTTTTCATACTCGCCTATATCTCCTACGCCTGTCTGCCTTTCAGGCCTTGGAAGGAAGAGGGTCTTAAATTCTAAGATGTTTTGCAATCACTGTTCTAACCCTGCCTCCTCCACTTAATATCACCTGCTACCGTCTAAATGTTTGTGTTACCACCCCCAAATTCACAGGATAAAATCCTAACTCCGAAGGTGATGGCATTAGGAGGTGGGGCCTTTAGGAGGTGACTTCATGGGAGTAAAATGGGATTTGTGCTCTTATAAAAGAGACCCCAGAGAGTCAGCTAGGTCCTTCCACCAAGTGAGACTTAATCAAGAAGGCATAAGCCTATGAACAGAAATCAGGCCCTCCGCAAACACCGCGTCTGCTGCTGCCTAATCTTGGACCTCCCGGCCTCAAGAAGTGAGAGAACGGGAGGCTGAGGCAGGAGAATCACTTGAACCCAGGAGCAGAGGTTGCAGTGAGCCAAGATCACACCACTGCACTCCAGTCTGGGTGAGAGAATGAGACCCTGTCTCAAAAACAAACAAAAGTGAGAGAGAGAAATTTCTGCTGTTTATGATGTCTTGCTATGGCAGCTGGATCAAACTAAAACATCAACTTTGGGACATTATATTATCTTCCCCTTTTGTTCACTAATGTGGAAATAGAGGGCAGTAAAAATATCTACTTCTCAGTATTATTTTGAAAAGAAAAGGAGATAGCCTTAGTAAAGGGGTCAACAAGGTCTGTCACATAGTAGATGCTCAAGCAACATTCTGTGCCTTGAAGGTAGTCTGGAAGGGAGGGGACTTCTTCCAGGAATGTGGATGTGGCTGCTGAAATGGAGACAGGAGAGGGGCACAGTGTCTGGAGACAAATGGATTCATTACTGAGCTGGTTGTGCCATGTTGGGTTTCCTGGATTTTTTTTTTAATCCAAAAGACAGAGAAAGGGTGAGGGAAATTCTGGAAAGTAAATGAAAATGGGGGATTGTATAATGCAAGGCAGGGAAAAGCGAAGTGTTCGTTTCTTGAGTCTATGGCTGGGCTGAACTGATTAAGCCACTCCTTGGCACCCATGTATAACTCTGGCTTAGGGTCTAAAGGGGAAGTCAGGCTGTTTTATTTAAATGAGTTATAAATTATAGACAATAAAATGCATATTTCTTAAGAGTTTTGTTTGTGAAGTTTTTTGTGTGTTTTTTTTTTGGTGTTTTTGGGGTTTTATTTTTGTTTTGTTTTTGAGACAGGGTCTCACTCTGTTGCCAAGGCTGGAGTGCAGTGGTTTGGTCATAGTTCACTGTAAACTTGAACTCCTGGGCTCAAATGACCCTTCTGCCTCAGCTTCCCAAGTAGTTAGGACTACAGGAATATGCCACCACATCTGGATAATTTTTATTTTTTTTGCAGAGATTGGGTGTCACTATGTTGTCCATGCTGTTATCAAACTCTTGTCCTTAAGAAATCCTCTGGCCTTGGGCTCACAAAGGCTGAAATTACAGGTGTGAGCCACTGCAGTCAGCCAGTTGACTACATTTTGAAATTGTGTGTATCCATGTAGATCATCATGTGAAACGAGGTACATAACATTTTCGTCACCACCAGGAAGTTTTCTTGTGTCCCTTTGTTGCCAATCCCATTCTACCCACCCAGTGTAAACTACAATTTTTATTTCTAATACCATGTATTAGTTTTGCCCTTTTTTGAACTTCATATAAGTGGAATTCTATACTGTGTGTTTTTTTGGTGACTGTCTTTCTGGCTTTTCTCAATTACTCTAATGTCTAGAAGATTCCTCCGTGTTGCGTGTATCAACAGCTTTTGAATTTTTAATTACTGAATAGCTAGATCTCTATTGCATGAATAAGCTACAGCTTGTGTATCGAGTCTCCTGCAATAGATACGTCGGTTGCATCTATGGGATTTTTTAAAATACAGGTGTGGCTGGTTGTGGTGGCTCACACCTGTAATCCCAGCACTTTAGGAGGTCAAGGCAGGAGGATCACTTGAGCCTAGGAGTTTGAAACCAGCCTTGGCAACATGGCAAGACCCCATGTGTTCATACTGCTGCACTCCAGCCTGAGAGACTAGAGTGAGACTTTGTCTCAAAAAAAAAAATAAAATACAGATGCCTATGCCCACTTTAGATTTACTCCATCAAAATCTTCAGGTATGGAGCCCAGCATAGACATTTATTTTAGATACATAGGTGATGCTGATGATGCCTCTGCACTTTTTATTCTCATCAACTGATGCTGATGCTGGAATTGATTGGTCTTCATTGAAAACTATTGGTATGCAGAGTTTTAAGTTATTCATGATCAGACTTACAGAAAGATAAATCAGATATGGCCTCTTTTGAATAGAGAAAGAAGGCAGCCCTTTATCTGAAGGGGCAGTGTGCCTCTAACGGCAGGCACAGGTGACTGGAGTTTCAGTGGGATGGACATCTCCCATGGCATATCATGTGTCAGGCACCTGGAACTTCACCATACAGGTGAAGAGAGACTGTGACAGAGTGTATAGGATCATGACATCTTACTTTATCTGTGCTACAAAGCTTAATCTTCATTGCAGCTTAGGATGCTGAGCAGAATTTTGCTACTCAAAGAGTTTCAGATAGTAAGAAAACCTTTGTCATAGCAACTATACCAACTGTGATGGTTAATGCTGAATATCAACTTAATTGGATTGAAGAATATAAAGTATTGGTCCTGGGTGTGTCTGTGAGGGTGTTGCCAGAGGAGATTAACATTCAAGTCAGTGGACTGGCAGACCCACTCTCAATCTGGATGGGTAAAATCTAATCAGCTGTCAGCATGGCCAGAATAAATGCAGGCAGAAGAACATAGAAAGACTAGATTGGTTTAGTCTTCTGGCCTCCATTTTCCCCCAGGGCTGGATGCTTCCTGTCCTCGAACATCAGACTCCAACTACTTCAGCTTTGGGACTCAGACTGGCTTCCTTGCTTCTCAGCTTGCAGACAACGTATTGTGGGACCTCACCTTGTGATCATGTGAGTCAATATTCCTTAATTAACTCCCCTTTATATATACATCTATCCTATTAGTTCTCTTCCTCTAGAGAGCCCTAACACACCGACAAAGACTTCTCTAAGAGAAATAACAAGGAGCAGTTCTTCCACATACCTGGGCAGGCCACACTGCTGTACCCCAAGAGGAAGCACCATGGGTTCCCCTTCTGACACTCACCATTGGAGGGCAGTTTCCACATCCAGAGGAGGCCAGGCCTCTCCTGTAGGAAACATCTTTCTTGCAGGCTCACTCACCATTGTCTGGGAAAGATGGCTCTGTCTAAAGCTGTCTCACTCGGCTGTGATTGGTCAGAGCAGTCCCTCAAGACAATGCTTTGATGGCCCTGAAGTCAGACCATGTCAGGCCAATTTCCCAAGGCCAGTAGTTCCCAAAAGTCTAATCATTCACTCCACAGATAAAGACTCTGTCTGAGTCTGTGCCTATGGAAGACTTCTTAGGGAAATGTCTGGATGCTGAGGAGAGAGGTCATATTTCCTGGTACCTGGGATCAATGAAGCGTGGCATCTTGAAACTGTGGAGGCCCTTGGTGTTGATCAAACCAATGCCCAACACAAGTTTTTTTTTTCAATGAGGACTCTGGCTGAACACTGTGGCTCACACCTGTAATCCCAGCACTCTGGGAATTTAAGGCAGGTGGATCACTTGAGGTCAGGAGTTTGAGACTGATCTGGAAAACATGGTAAAACCCTATCTCTACGATAAAATATAAAAATTAGCTAGGCATGGTGGAATGCACCTGTAGTCCCAGCTACTCAGGAGGATGAGGCAGGAGAATCACTTGAACCTGGGAGGTGGAGGTTGCAGTGAGTTGAGATTGTACCACTGCAC